GGGGGCGGGGCCATGCAGGACGAGGGGCGGGGCCTGGGAGCTGGGGCGGGGCCGGGACCGGCCCAGGTAGGACCTCCGGCGGGCCGAGGGGTCCTAGCCGCCTTCCCTGCCCACAGGGCGCTGTGCAAAGGCTGCCGCTGCCTGGAGCTCGACTGCTGGGACGGGCCCAACCAGGAGCCGATCATCTACCACGGCTACACCTTCACTTCCAAGATCCTCTTCTGCGACGCGCTCAGGGCCATCCGGGACTATGCCTTCAAGGTGGGCGCACCCCTGGGGGAGAGGAAGAGAATGCTGGGGGTGTCCACCCGCTCCTAACGTGCCCTCGGGCCTCCAGGTGTCCCCCTACCCCGTCATCCTGTCTCTGGAGAACCACTGCAGCCTGGAGCAGCAGCGGGTGATGGCGCGACACCTGCGGAGCATCCTGGGCTCCATGCTGTTGGACCAGCAGCTGGACGGGGTCACCACCAGCCTGCCCTCCCCCGAGGTACGCGGTGGGAATATTGGTGCCCAGAGGAGAGGGCACGGGACTGGCTGGGAGGCCAGGTGGGTCTTGATTAGCTGCCCCTTCATCCTTAGCAACTGAAGGGGAAGATCCTGCTGAAAGGGAAGAAGCTTGGGGGGCTCCCGCCCCGCGAAGGGGAAGGTGGCCCCGAGGCCAGTGTGGTGTCAGATGAGGACGAGGCTGCCGAGATGGAGGACGAGGCAGTGCGGAGCCGCGTGCAGCACAAACCCAAGGTCCGAGGGGGAGCTTTTGGGGTGGGCAGCCCTGGGTCCCTTCCCACCATCATCCCACTGTCACCCGTGGGATGTCTGCCTTGTCTCAGTTCTCTGTGCTGCCACTCAGACCCTCTGCCCCCCACCTCTGTCTCTGGGTTTCTGGCACTCTCAGTACCCACCCTGTTCCAACCTCTGAATCTAACCTGGGCCTCCCCACGGCCCCCAGGAGGACAAGCTCAGGCTAGCGAGGGAACTCTCCGACATGGTCATTTACTGCAAGAGCGTCCACTTTGAGGGCTTCCCCAGGCCTGGCACCCCCGGGCAGGCCTTCTACGAGATGGCGTCCTTCTCCGAGAACCGTGCCCTCCGACTGCTCCAGGAAGCGGGTGAGCCCCTGCTCTGCGACCCGAGGTTACCAGCCATCTGTCTGGCCATCTGGGCTGGCCAGGGCCAAGCTGGCTCCCCACCCCACAGGACGTCGCCCAGAGTTGGCACTCCCTGCTCTGTTGGCAGACAGAACTGGGGAGGAGGGGCTCAGCCCTCACCAGAAGGCCTCGGCTTCTGACAAGCCCCACCCCCCTCAGGAAACAGCTTTGTCCTCCACAATGTGGGGCACCTGAGCAGGATCTACCCTGCCGGCCGGAGAACAGACTCCTCCAACTACAGCCCCGTGGAGATGTGGAACGCCGGCTGCCAGATCGGTAGGGGCTGGCTGGGGCTGCCGGGCAGGCGACCAGGGGCCTGCAGCCTTAGAGGCCATGCAGTGGGAGGTCCCAAGCAAGGCCGGATGCAGGGGCTTGTGGGCTCCAGAGCTGGTAATCTGGGCACCTCAGTTTGGAAATGTCTCCCCACGAGCAAGTCACAGTGTCCGAATCCCACCATCAGCACAGCGGTCCTTTGGATTCTGATGTCAAAGATTGAACGTGTGATCCGTGTAGTGGGTCAGTTAGGGTGGCAGGTGGGCAGTGAGATTGGAGAGGACCCTGCTTCTGACTCCCATGTGACCCTAGACCTCAGTGTACCCTGGGTGAGCTGGGCTCAAGGGCCCCCCCAGGCCCTGCTGCAGCCTCTGGCTGTCCTTCCTGCTTGTAGTGGCCCTGAACTTCCAGACCCCTGGCCTGGAGATGGATTTGTACCAGGGCTGCTTCCAGGACAACGGGGCCTGTGGGTATGTGCTGAAGCCTGCCTTCCTGCGAGACCCCAACTCCACCTTCAACCCACGTGCGCTGACTCAGGGGCCCTGGTGGACTCAGAAGCAGCTCAATGTCAGGGTATGAAGGGACACAGGAGGGGCAGGTGCCCGTGGGCTTCTCTTCCTGCTCACCTCGCTACCATTCCCGAGCACTTAACTGTCCCCTGCCTTTCCTCAGGTCATCTCAGGCCAACAGCTTCCGAAAGTCAACAAGAACAAGAATTCCATCGTGGACCCCAAGGTGACAGTGGAGATCCACGGTGTGGCCCGGGATATGGCCAGCCGCCAGACCGCTGTCATCACTAATAACGGTACGTGCCAGGCCTGGGCTGGGCTCAGCCACTGGAGCTGGCATCCAGGCTGCTGACACCATGCCGCACCCCTAGGTTTCAACCCGTGGTGGGACACAGAGTTTGACTTCGAGGTGGCGGTGCCTGAGCTTGCCCTGGTCCGCTTTGTGGTGGAGGATTATGATGCCTCCTCCAAGAACGACTTCATTGGCCAGAGCACCATCCCCCTGAACAGCCTCAAGCAGGGTGAGTGTTTGTCGAGGGGAGGGGGCGGCAGGGCTGGGGGAGGCAGGTCTGGCATCTCCTGGGCTGCGGCCACCTGTCCTTGGCACACCCTCCTGAGTGACCGGAACTCTGTCTCTGTGCTCCTTGCTGTTTCCACCTTCCTGCCCTTCCGCCTGCCAGGATACCGCCACGTCCACCTCTTGTCCAAGAACGGAGACCTGCATCCATCAGCCACGCTCTTTGTGAAGGTCTCCCTCCAGGACTAGGCTTGGGGATTCCGGTGGGGTTGGCCGAGTGGGCCAGGCCCTCTCTCCGCCCCGGGGGCAGGGGTGGCGTGGCTGCTCCCAACCTCGCTCGGAGCTAGAGGCCCCCATACTACCTTCAGCTGCTGCCTCTCTGCGGTTCCAGGAGCTGGTCCAGTCCCTGGAGCTGCCCTCAATTCCGTTAGAACACACTGCAGCCCTCTCCGTCCTCCGGCGAGCCCTGGGTCGAGGATTTTTATAAAAATCATAGGACTAAGCCCTGTGGTTTCTTTACCTGTTTGTTGTGAGTTACCATTGAATCGGCTCCAGCTCATAGTGACCTTATGTGTAACCCGTGAGGCGCATGCGTGTGCACGCGTGTGTCCCAGAGCCCTGCACCCCAGTGCCTCACTCCTCACCTTCCTCACACTCAGACTGGAGTTAAGGGATGTCCGTCCCCCTGGACAGGAGGCAGCCATCCGTGAAGGAGGGCACAGACCCTTGCTCCCAGCCCCAGAGGCCTCTGCCCTGGAGAGGTGGACCTCCTGAGCGCCCCAGGCTTGAGACCACACCCCACACCTCGTGTGAACCACAAGTTGTTTTTATTGACAAAGTCCGGGGAGGACCCAGGAGCCTCTGAGTGGGGCCTGGGGGGTCGTGAGCAGGGTCTGCCCAAGGTTCAGGTCTGCCTTGGGAAGGCCACACCCAGGGGTCTTGGGCGTGTGGGGGCACTGGCCGGGGAGGGGCCTGGGTTCAGAAGAAGCCATGCTGCTTTTTCTCCTGCTGCTGCTTCCACTTGGCCATGCTGTAGAATTCTTCCTTGGACTTCCCGAAGATATCGTGGAAGTCAGAGTCTGACAGATAGAACTGGGGGGCAGGTGCAGCAGGAAGGGTGTCACCTGAGCCTGTCACCCCAGGGCTCAAGGCTCTCCCATACCTGCCTGCCGTCCACCCCATCCAGAACGTACGCCCGCCCGTGCCTGAAGCCCCTCCATTGGTGGGCCATGCCTGCCTGCCCTCCACCCATCCAGAACGTACGCCTGCCCGTGCCTGAAGCCCCTCCATCGGTGGGCCTCGCCTGGGCTCCCCCAGCTCAGTGTTAGAGGCGTCACTGCTGCGGCCTGCGTGGCAGAGGCTCTCAGCACCCACCTCCTTGCGGGCCGGGTCCACGCCCTCCGGCAGGTCCTCGGCGGCCTGGTACATGAGCCGCTCACGGGGCAGGGCCCCGCTGATAATGGAGCTGTTGCTGCTGGAGTAGCTGCTGGTGCTGCCTGCCTTGGAGCCCAGCTCATTCTCTGCGCTGTCCCGGGGACCCTTGAGGGCCGGCAGGGTTACGGGCCCTGCTGTGCCATTCCCCCGCGGGTTAGATAGCCGGAAGTTGTTGACTTCCTGCCCAGAGAGGAGGCTCAGGTTGGGAAAGGTGGGGATGGTCGGGCCCCAGGGCAGCCACACAGCCCACCTGCCCTCTTGCCCCCAACTAGAGCCCTCCTACCTCCCAGGGTCTGGACCCCTCCCCTGCGCATTCTGGACTGTGCCTTGGACCCCAGGAGCAGTGACCACTGTGGGGGAGGCCCCAGCACTCACCGCTGTTACCTTGATTATGTCAGCTACTGCTCCTAGGCCGCCCTCCACCATCTCCTCATAGGACTGGCTGTTCTGGGGGCAAGAGTCAGGGCTGGGGCAGGCGAGGGGCACCCATGGGACCCAGGAGGGGGCCCCCACCCACCCTGAAGGTCTCCGGGCAGGGCAGTGCCTCCTCCCTCAGCCTGCCATGGGCAGGCCCCCTGCCCAGGATTAGGGTGGGGCTGGGGGTTTCAGGCCTCACGGTCCACTTGTAGGGGTCCCAGGCGGGGAACCATCCAATGAAGGTAGGAGGCTCAAGGCCCTGCTTGACCAACACAATGGGCGTGGCTGGGCTCCTCCCTGCTGGATGGGTCTTCAGGTACTCCTGGCCCCAGCCCACCGCCTCCTTCCAGCTGCGTGCTGCTTCCCCGAGCCACAAGAAGATCTGGGCCGCAGAGAAGGCCTGGCATTGGGGCTAGTGGATGGGCTGCCCGGAGCTGACCACCTGCTCCCTGCCCCATCCATCAGATGGTCTCAGAACCCCACACGCATCCCCTGCCAACCAGTCATGGCAGGCGCCATCCCCACACCCCATACACTCACACCAGGTCACCGGCATGCATGCATTCATCCAATTCACAGACACTGAGCACCTAGTGTGTGCCAGGCCCTGTTCTAGACACTGGGGATTCGGCAATGGAAAAAAAGTGAAAAATTCCACCTTCATAGTGCTTTCATTTTATTGGGGGAGTCAGAAAGATAAACAAATAATAGAACATATAGTATATCAGATGGAAAAATTAGGCAGGGAAAGAAAAAAAGGAGTGTGGCGGTGGGAACCTTGCAATTTTAAATCAGGGTCAGAGAGGGCCTGACTGAGAAGATGACGTTTGAGCAAAGATCTGAAGGGGCAAGTCGTGTGTGTGTCTGAGGGGAAAGGGTTCTGACAGCCAGTGCAAAGGCCCTGTGGTGGGAGCGTGCTGCCATGTTCAGGGAACACAGGGAGGCCATTGTGGTCGAGCAGAGCGAGCGACATGGAGCGGGGGGCCAGGTCACACAGGGCCGTGTCGGCTTAGTCATGATGCTGGCTTTTACTCTGAGGGAGGTGGGGTGCCCACAGTCTCGTCACCACATTCACACAGAATCAAAGGCAGCCCCACATTCGCACAACGACACACAGACATACATCATCACGGCTACACAGACACACAGTCACCACCACACGGCCAGTCCGCAGGTCACACGGTCACAGCTGTACGCACACCCAGCCAGTTACACACAGGCTGAAAAACCATTGCGACAGCCACGCTGAAACACAATTACACTGTCACACAAATGCAGTCGCTCAGAGCCACTCACACCCACAGCCAGCCAGTCCCAGAGTCACGCACACACGGTCTTACAATACTGCCAGTCCCAGCCAGTTATGTGACTACAGTCAGAGGTACTGTCAGCCTCACACACACAGCCATGCACACAAAGGCAAATACAGCCAGACAGTGACACCCACGCCCCCCCACCCCCTATGTGGCCAGTCGTTCAATTATACAGTCACTCACTCAGCTGTGACTCATGTCGCCTGGAGTCACACACACCATCGTAAGACACACAGAGTTGCACACAACCACACAAGGGTCACAGATCACAGGAGTCCCAAGTACGGTCATGGTCTCCTGCAGCCTCACACGTTAGCACACAGTGACAGACTCGCCCGTGGCCTCACATCCACAGTCCCACAACCAGAGTCACATGGCTAGACACACAGTCACACCCACCACACCTGGGTACCCCGGCACACGAACACACCCCCCGACTCATGCCCCAGCCGGGCAGAGGCCGCTGCCTTACCTCCTCCCAGGTGTCCAATAACATGATGTCATACTTGTCCAGGTCCTCTTGGCTGAAGAACACCACCTCGGTGAGGACCAGGCAGCCCGACTGGCTGGAGCACTCAAACAGTCGTGGCTGGAGGCTGCAGGCCTCTTCAGGAAGCCTGGCCAGTGGGGGCAGCGAGGCCGTGAGGCCGCAACCAGTGCCTATACCTCATGCCAGGCCGGCCCAGCCCCGGTGCCCCCACCCCAGTGGCTAGGAAGCAGCTTCTGGGGACAGGAGGCATGAGCTCCTCCCAGCCCCACCCACCCCACAATCCCCACCAGGTGCACCCTGTGCCTCTCGGGCCTCGGAGTCTCCTTTCTGGCCAGGCAGAAAGCAGATTAGGCAATCTCCCTAGCCCCAGCCAAGCTGCCCCATGAACTTCCCCAGGAGTGGGCACTGCGGAAGGGGACAACTGGCTTAGCAGGAGGGTCTGAGTGCAGCCCCGCCCTCCTGGGATGGGAGAGCCCCACCCCTGCAGGAAGCCTCGGGTGCAGGGGGAGCAGGGATGGGGACAGTAGCACTAAGCTTAGGAGACTGGGGTGGGGGGTGGGTGCTGTGCATAAGGAGCAGCCTGGGACTTGGCCCCCTCCTCCCTTTAAGACTTCCTTCTGCCCCACGTGCCTACACACACCCTTTCCACTTACATACCACACACACACACACCCCTTACACCTGTTCTTGCACACCACACACACGCTGGATGCCCACATACCATATTACCCCCTGTGAACACACACTAGGCACACGACCCCTGGGCACTGTGTGACTGGGAACAGCCCGGTGCCCACTTGAGGTCCAGGATGGGTACAATGCAGGAAGCAGATTTGGCCAGCAGAGGGTGCCAGAGCCCCCACTCACCCTGCCATCTTCCAGATCCAAGTTACTGAGGGTTGGGGAGTGAGGGTGGGCTGTGGTCCTGGGAGCCCCTGGGGATGGGCAGCCAGGAGTCCTGGGTTCTAGTCTTGACTCTCCAGCTCTCTGCGTGACCCTTAATAAGTCACCCACCCACTCTGAACCTCAGTTTCCTCCTCAGTGTAAGGGGAACTCCCCTTCCTCCCAACAGTTACCTCTTATTGCTGGGGTAGGGAGCCGGGCCCCCCAGGGCCCCCCAGAAGTGGGGAGGCTCCTGACCCTCCAGCACTATTTCCTTGTTGTTCCTGGAGATGAGAGTGACCACCTTCCGTGCCATCTCTCGCTGGTCACCGCTGCAGCCCTGGCAAGCAAAGAGCTCGGTGAGGCCCTACAGAGGGAGGGTCTTCACCTCCAGTCCCATCCCCACCCACTGGGGCCGCTGAGGAGATGGGCCTGAGTCACAGGAGGCCTATGCTGATACACACACGAGCAGTGGATCTCCCTTCCTGCCCCTCTAGGCCCGAGTCTCCCCATCTAAGCAGTCCCAGATCCACAGCACAGGATGAAGGACCCTCGGCTGGGGCCAGGTCATTCATGGTCTAGGCTGAGGATCAGAGAAAACTCTAGCAAACTGGACTGGGCCTCCCTCTTCCCCAGGAGACATGAGAAGGGACATGCCTCTTGTTGAAGGCAGGCAGGAGGTGAGGGCAGAGGCTTCCTGGGCCTTCCCAGGCCCACCTGTCACTTCGGAACTTCCCCCAGGTTCCAGAGGGGACACTGTGGCCCCTGCCCCATTCCCACCCTCCATGCCCGGCTGCGTCCTCCAGGAAGTAGGCCACCCCTGCCCCCAGGCGTGGGTCGCATGGTGGGGGCTGGGGCTACCTTTCCAAACCAGAGGTAGCAGACGTCAGCGGTGAGCAGCACGAAGACGTCGCTGGAGCTGAGGGATGAGGCGCGGGCCGGCACCTCCATGGTCTTCGTGTTGTGGCTGTCCGTGCCTCGCACATGGAAGAGCCGTGTGGTAGGTGCTGGCTGTCCCTTCCCGTTGCACCCAGTGCCCCCCTACAAGAGGGCTGGGTCTCAGGCTGAAGTGAGGGGGCCGCCCCCCTGCCCCAGGGTGGGACAGACTGCCTTGGGGCTCAGCGGACCCTGGTTTTAAGCCACCTCTGTCTTCTGGACCCTCTCAGCGGGGAGTGTGGGGATTCTGTCAGTCTAGGGCCCTTTCTAAACGGACCTCTCATCCCAACTCTGAGGGCTCAGGGCCGGTTCTCCAGGCCTTAAATGGGGAAAGTGGGGACCGGTTTTGCCTGCGTGTAACCCCAGCCCATGGCCCCCTCACCCGTGTCTCCGCTTTGTGCCTGGCTCAGGGACCGGAGAAAAATCTCAGGCAGGGGTCATCCTTGGTGCTCCTGGGCCTCAGACAAGCACCAGGAGACCAGGGGGTGGTAGGCTGGGCCCCTGGCCTCAAGAGAGAGGGCTTAGCACGTGTCTGTAAAGGCCACAGGCTCACGGAGGAGGTGGCAAGGGTGCTGCCACAGCAGCAGAGTGGGCCATACCTGGAAGACCACCAGCTGGCCCTGGAAGATGGCGAGGAAGTGGGGGGGCTCGCTGCCCATGCTCACGTGCTCCTGCACCAGGGCTCCATGGTACACGAGGTCCAGCTCCTCGGCGTTGTAGCTCAGGGCCTTGACCTTGTCGGGGGTGGCCTGGTGGCCCTGTGATAGTACACCCTCAGCTCCTTAGCTCGGTCTTTATGTGCCCGCCACTCCCCCACCCCCACCCAGGCTGCGGTACCTGCCACAGGTACAGGATGTACTGGATGCGGCCCAGGTTCTGGTAGGTGTAGAGGACAAGGTAGCAGTTGCCTGAGTACAGCTGTCCATGATGCTTGGGGTCCATGGGCTGTCTGCATAAGTCCTGGATGCACCACACCTGGGGGGCAGGAGACCCACGGGCATGGCAGCTCCTTCACCTGGAGCAGCCTGCCCACCTGTGCCCAGCCAGGAGGTTGTAGTCTCTGAGGCATTCCTCGAGTGCCAGGAATGGGCTCACCCCCAGCTCCGGGCCCACTGTGCTTGTGCAAGGACCTGCAGGCAACCCTCTTCCCCTTGGGCCCTTGGCGCCGGCCTGCTCTCACCCAGGCCTCTGAGTTTGGGTGTGGTGCCAGGGATAAACTAGCGGTGAGAACCCCAGAGGCTGTGGAGGTGGGCCCAGCCTCTGCCACACACCCACGGCCAGCCCCGGCCCCACCAGTGACAGCCCAGTTAGGGGCAGACAGGCCCTGCACAGCTGCTCCATGCTCCGGCCAGGGCAGCAGAAGCCAGGCCGGAAGCGGAAGTGGGGCCCCAGGGGTCTTGGAAAAACTCTCTTTTTTTCAAATGTCACTTAAAAAAAACAAAGCCTTCTCAAGGCTGAAAGGAAAACATGTCCTCACACTTGGCACTGAGATTTGTTGTTCCTGTGGGTGACAGAGTGTGGTCTGGAGCCAGCAGACCGGGTCAAATCCCAGCTCTGCCCCACGTCGGCGCCGAGGCCTTTCTGAGCGTCAGTTTTTCCCACCTGTGAAACTGGGACAACACCCCCCTCACTGTGCCTTGACATGGTAGAAACGATGACACGACTCACACGGAGCCTGGCCACTGCCTCTGGGGAAGGTCTCCCCCAGACCAGAACATCCAGGATCCTGCCTTTTGCAGAAGGGGCAGGCACCGCCCACAGGCCGCCCAGGCTCCTGGCTGGGGCCCTCTCTCTGCCTGCTGGGCACCTGGGGGCACGGAGCGCTCCTCCTTTCTCACTGGCCCAACTCTCCACCTTTCTCTATCTCCTGCTCTATGGGCCCATCTGCCCGTCTCCCCTCTCCCATATTTCCCACTCTCCCCCCTCCCGCATTTCCCACTCTCCCCCCTCCCGCATTTCCC